TATTTACACTCAAATCTGTTTATGTACTCAACAGATTTGAGCCCGATTGATCATGTCTCACTTCAATAAAGCCTGATAATAAACTTTAATCCCATAGGACAAATCCATTAATTATGCTTTCATGGGAGGTATAATTAATGGGTCTATACTGTGGAATTATGGCACTCAGTAAATATTAATAATTCAAACACACTTTTCCAAGCACCTTAAGAGTACCCAAACAAATATATCATTTTATATGGCTGAAGCTTTCCTTCAACATCCTCATATGGAACATAAATGCATGGGGGGGGGGAAATTAACATCTTCTTTTCAGTGAGATCTTTATAGACGATTAAAGATTCTTTGGTAGAGATATTATGCATTCCAATAAAATGGTCCGTCAAAATTTATTTTTGTGATCGTTATAAAAGGTCTGATGCAAGCTTAGAAGCAATCAGTAAAATGACAGTCATGCATTATAATACTGAAAAGCCTAGTTATGTTGCTAATAAAGAATATTTTAAAATAAGCATTTTATTTTAAAACAGTTTCAGATTTATAGAAAAGTTGCAGAGAACTCCTGATTAACCCTTATCCAGTTTCACCTATTGAGATCCTCCTACCTTAGCAGAGAACATTTGTCACAACTAAGATCTGATATTTGTACATTCTTATTAACTAAACTCAGCAATTTATTTTGATATCACCAGTTTCCCCTAGTGTCCCTTTTGCTATTCCAGGATTTTATCCAAAATGACACATTATGTTTAGTCATCATGTTGCCCTTAGAATCATAATCTGTAATAGTTCTCAGACTTTCCATGCCGTTGATGAACTTGACTTTGGTCAGATTTTTTTCTAAAAAGGTCCTCAATTTGGGTTTGTCCAATATTTTTCTCATAAGTAGACTGAAATAGTTGGATTTTGGTAAGAAGACCACAGAAGTGAATTATCTCTCTCATAACATTATATCATGCTACCTTCATGATCACTTGGTTAAGGTAGCGTTTGCCAGTTTTTTCCACTGAAAAGTTACCTCTCTCCCTTTTCATCCATTACTATCCAAAAGAAATAAGTTACTAAACACAACCTAGGGGTGGGGGTGGACTATTAAGTCCCACTTCTTGAAGAGGGGGAGCAGCTACCTAAAATTTTTTGGAATTCTTCTGCAGGAGAGGTTGTCTTGCCTCCCAATTTTTTATTTATTTGGTCACTTATTTATTTATGTATGAATTCATTTTTGTCTTATACTTTGAGTTGTACTCTAATGCTATGTCATTTATTTTGTTGCTCAAAGTGTTTCATCTTTGGCGATTGGGAGCTCTTTCAAGTTTGCTCCTCTGTCTCTTTGGCATGCTCCACCTTTTTATTTTTGAGCATGTCCTTACTTTCTGTCACAACAAAATGCTTCAGGATATGGTGGATTTCAAAATAATTTTGCTGAGTGAAAGAAGCTGGACCCCAAATAATTTATAGATATAGAAATGGAAAGGGGGGAATCTAGCAATTTGGCTGAAATAACCTTTTAAGTGTGGGGAAAAATGTTAGGTTTATATTACTTATAAACCTAGTGTTGAAAAGGAGATGTTTATTGGACTTCGAAGCAGAAAACTAAGTTTTAGGACACGTGTCAGAGTTAGGATAGGCTTCTTATAATGAGAATGTCTATTGCAGTCTCCAAATGAGTAAAACACACAAGGGTATTATAGGAGAATTAAGGGCGTTCCTTTTTTGGGATGATTGGCTTCCTTTGAAGAATAAGTATTCTATATTCCCGTGGGATTGACTTTCACATGATCATAAACCAGCCATTTCCACAACCTCTGAACTATATCATAAGCAGATAAAGCCATAATTCTAACAAAATCTTTTATGAAGATATTATAGGAGAACATACACTGTTAGCTTTTAAAATTATCTATGCAACTTTTATCTATGCAAAGTACATCTATGAAGTACTTTGCTAATTTTATTTAAACATACAATTGCATTGGTATTGCTATAATTGAATGAAAGGGTAAATGAATTTAAGTATAGTAAAATGTGTGGATAAGGCATCTCTGAAGAGTTTACTATCGTATTTTAACTTAAAGGAAAAACAAATTGGAATGGCAGCTAAATTACAGATCACTGAAATGCAAATAGAAAAAGCAATAAGCTAAAATGAAGATTTTAAATTATATATATATATACTGTATATATATATATATATATACTGTATATATACTCTCAACTTAATAATTAAGTGCATTTCATAAGATGTCATATAAAATTGATTTGTTTTTTAAAGATATTTTTCATGATTTCTCATGAGCAATGGAATGAAAGTGTCACACTCTAAGATGGATTTGAAACTGAAAGCTAGAACAAAGTTTTCTCTAAGACTGACATTCAAAGAATCAAGGTTACATGATGCAAATTTTAGAGTCTGCTTTTTACAGTCTTAGGATGGCACATTTATTTCTGGAATGTTGTAGGGAGACCTCAGCCCTAAGAGAAGTTAACCATGAAACTTGATTTTGAGCTGCTCTACTTATGGAAGTTGGAAAGCCTTTGTCTGTAAGATTATGATCCAGGGTTTTATATTTTCACAACTGAATGTCATCTCTGTCACCTGAATATATAATTTTTAAGGGCAAATACTTTAATGTGCTTTGCATAATATCATTAGTTCAGGATAATATCATATAACTCAAATGTATATGAACTGTGTTCTATCACTTGCTATGTGTCCAGTTTATTGTACACATAAATAAAAATGACTTAAAATAATAATTTTTAATTCTCACTCAAGGATATGTCTTTTTGGGAGAGAGAGAGAGAGAGAGAGAGAGAGAGAGAGAGAGAGAGAGAGAGAGAGAGAAACATCAATCAGCTGCCTCCTGTATGTGCCCTGGCCAGGGATTGAACCTACAACTTAGGTATGTACCCTGACTGGGAATGGAACAGCATACTTTTGGCGCACAGGATGATGCTCCAACCAACTGAGCAACCCGGCCAGGGCAAAAATAATCTTTGAATTAAAAGAAAGCTTAAGAATTTGTAGCAGTTGCAGTATCTGTTCTTTGAATTTCTTCTTTTATTGGAACTTAAGTCAGCCAAACTTGTCTACTTGTTCCCTTATCTCAATCATGGTTAATTCCTTGTTTTTCTGTAATCTTCACTGCAAAATTCATTGTATTTGTGTGCACGTATATTTGGAAAATGAGCTGAAAAATGGAGGTGTGAATTATTTTCAATATTTTATTTGCTTGACTACTTAAATGGAAAATTCCTCTGAGAGAATAAGCTAAGAATATAGTAAAATAAATTATGTTGCTACCTATTGTCAATATCCTTTTCTTGGTTTTAGAAAAAAATAATGATGTTACTAACTCATTTTTTAGGTTAATCTCTTATGTAAGAAGTTTTAATTGATTAAATTTTTAGTACTAAAATAACAGCATTAACAAATTTCCAATAATGCTCTTATACTGTGTCTTTTGTCCTTAAAAGTTTTGTTTAGCAGAATATAATAAGAAAGGTTGTAAAATAGCAGGGTCTATGAATGTGGGGATCTTAAAAATATAATATTTCTTCATTTTGTAATAATATAATAATGACAGACATGTTTTTTATAAAAACTGGATACAATTATATTATTCTCCATAAATGAAAAAAATTAATAATCTATGTTTGATAATCAGTTTGAAAGACATAGAAATAGCAACATAATGAATTAACACAGATACATATTATCTTCAAAGAAAAGGTAAAAAAATAAAGTAAGCAAATGTAATACTAAATACTACTCTAACACACAAATGATTATTATATTTAATAAAATGCACTTGTACATTGTTATAATTTCACTGATATCTCAGATAACTATTTCTAAATAAGAAATAATCCTATATAATAAAAGCCTAGGTGGCATCACATGATGTCATCACAAGATGGCCGCCACAAGATGGCCAGCAGGGGAGGGCAGTTGGGGCGATCAGGCAGGTTGGCAGGGGAAGGGCAATAAGGCAGGCAAGCAGGCGAGCGGTTAAAAGACAGCAGTCCTGGATTGTGAGAGGGATGTGCGACTGCCGGTTTAGGCCCAATCCCTGTGGAATTGGGACTAAACCTGAGTCTGACATCCCCCAAGGGGTCCCAGATTAGAGAGGGTGCAGGCCAGGCTGAGGGCCACCCCCACCCTGTGCACAGATTTTGTGCACTGGGCCTCTAGTTCATTATATAACAACTAGAGGCCCAGAGTCCCTTGCAGTGGCCTGTGGGGATTGGGCCGAAGTTGGCAGTCCAATGCCACCTGCAGCTCCTGCCTGCTGCTCCCACTTATCCCGGCCCCCTGGCGCTCATGCCCAATCAGCCCTGATCTGGAGAGGCTCGAGCCATAGCACTTGCCAGCCATAAGCCCTGCATCTGGTGCCTGACCCGAGGGGGCTTTGGGGAAACCTGGATGCGTTCAGCCCCTGGATGGGTGGTAGGACACCCTTGCCAAATCAGGATCTGGATCCCTCCCACTGACATTCATGCCAGTTGTTGGGAGCCACCTGGCGGCCACTTTTATATAATTTCTTCCTTGTGGAGAGTCTAGGGAGGGGAATTGACTGCAGTGGCCGAGGCCGACTTCCAGGAGGCCATCAGCACTGTCAGGATCATGCTGGCAGCACTGCTTCATCTGTGCCTGGCCTGTTCTTTGGAGATTGAACCTTCAGGACTACTGATGGAGTGAGTGGCTACTGTCGGGCTAGTGGGCCCCTGGGACAGGTAGGACAGCTGAGCAGCACTCACGCTGTGGGGGCGTACTGACCACCAGGGGGCAGCTTCTGCATTGAGCGTCACAGCAACTGGTCAACCGGTCGTTCAGTCATTCGGTCACTTAGGCTTTTATATATATAGATACTTTTTATTTTCCTACACCCATATTTACTTTATTTTTTAATTTTAATAACAAGGATTATATTCTAAGTTAGGAATAATAAAAATGGCTACAAAAAGTGTCTTTTCAATTCACTTTGTTTTTCCTGCAGAGTGCGGATATGAGCCCAGCAAGTAGCACCACTTCACTTCCAGTTAGTCCTCTTACTGAAGAGCCATTGCCTTTCAAGGTAACAAACAAACCAACAAACAAACATGATTTTTTTAAAAATAGTTCATAAATATAATAAAATAGATATTTCATTCTTAAGTGGCAAATGAACTGCTTTAATCTGTAATAATCTTATATGAAATATTAAAATCTTTTTTGTTTCATTTTGTTGTCATTCTAATTGCTAAGTAAAAGTAAAGGTTTGGAATATACAGTAATACTTTCTGGAACATGTTATTTCTTGGCATGTGATAGATAGTGTTTTCACTGTAATGTAATGGTTTGATATTACATGAATTGAGGTTTCAAACCTTTTTAATTTAAGCAATAAATTTAGAGTGAATGGTCAGCCCTCATCAAGTGTTTAAATTTTCATTGATGACTGTAGGTCATAATTAATTATCTAATCTTTACAAAGTAATAGTCAAATTCATGAATTGAAATATGGAACCATTCCTCCACATTATAATTTTAAAATATTTAAGTAAATATGCAAATAAGTATTTAAGTATTATGATTAGTAGAATTCTTCAGTTTGGGAGGCTTTATACATTAAAAATATGAAGTCATCTTTTTGTTTTGATATTTAAGATTAAATTTTTCTCTTTAGGCCAGAGCTTGTAGCTCAGCTACTTTATATTTATGCCAGGGATATTTGGATTTCATTAGGATTATTATAAATAAAGGCACTACTTAAGAGCAGGAGATAAAAAGAAAAACTTGGAGAAATGGGATAATACACTTACGTGCAATAGTTCAGTGTTGTTTGGTTTAAAGACAGGGAAATGTACATTTAGGGGTTCATTATAACTTGCATAATTTTTGTATTTATCATAAAATTATTGTTTTGGGAGTTTTTCTTTTTCATATAAAAACTTATTCAACTTCATACTGCTTACACCTAGTGTAGTGACTGGCATGGATTTACATGTCGTGAATATTTACTGTATTGTTTAACTTAAAATAATAGAAGGCTATGAATTCCATTGTGTATCATTGTTTTCTAATTATGCGTGCTTTCTTGCTTAATGATAGACAATAATAATTGTTAAAAATCCATTTATATCAGAAAAATTGCAAAATACTGAATAGTATTCTGATTATGTTATTTATTGAGAAATATTTCTTTATTATCCTACAACAAAAAAAGAAAATCATACAATATTTCAAAGCTTAGTATTACTTGATATATTCATCTTATGATATATGGGACAAAATTTACAGAAGAAACATATTTAACAAGGTTTTCACTGGATTTTCAAAGTATTATCAGAAGTCATTTTCTCTTTTTAATATATTGCTAATGCCTACCTTCCTTAAAAGTTAATGTATTTTTTAAGAGGTAAATAAGAGGTGAGATATAGTCTAAAATCAAATGATATACATCTAATATAAATATAATCTTTTTGTTAGTGTTTCTGATTGGTTCTAAGAGATAAATATTATTCCTGTGTTAATGTGTGTAAGGGATTGTATCAACAATTAAAAATGCCAGGTGCTTATAATATATAATATTGGCTTTTGTCAATGCATACAATTATAGTATCTGTTATGTTACTTCTTTTGTGAAAGGAATACTATTTATAATTTTATTTATTTATGTATTTATTATTTTTTTAATTGTTTTATTGCTTAGAGTATTACAAAGAGTATTACATATGTCTCCTTTCCTGCCCCCCGCCCTTAACAATCCCCTGGCCTCCCCTACCCCCCAATGTCTTATGTCCATTGGTTATGCTTATATGCATGCATACAAGTCCTTTGATTGATCTCTTACCGCCCCCCTCCATT